AAATTAATTTTGTCCTATGCTCATGGTAGAAGGAGTTCCTAATTGCTATTTTCTTGTTCAATTAATCAATAAATATATATTAGGCCCTTGTTACATGGTCAGATGGCACAAAGTTTAAGAAAGTTTCTTGCACTACAGTCTAATTGGAATCCATAGGCTCTGTACTTTCCTCTCTCAAGGAATTTATCTCCATTTACTTAGATAAGTTTTGATTCAGGAATGAGTTGGTTATTTACCTCCTGTTCTCAGTTCCAAGACTCCCTTCCTCTACTCTGCTCTTTTGTGCTGGAGCTAGGATTCACAAGCCTCATTTACCAGCCTCTCTTGCCAGCCGGCTTTCTTTTAAGTTCAATAAATGGGAAACCCTAGGGGACTGGAATGTGGGAGGAGGAGAATTCCTTCCTGTTTTCAGTTCCTGAATGTAGCAGCAGACAGCAGAAAGGCAGCTGCTCTCTGCAGTTCTAATATATGAGTTTCTTTGGTGTACACTTTTTCTCTTTCTGCCTTCTGATATCTTTATAACCAATTCCTGATATTAAATCCACTCTGCTCCTGACTGGACCCTGGCTGATACAGTACTTGATACTAGGAATGATTCTAGGAAACAGACTCTCAAAAACAGGATTCTGGGATTGATTTGCTTTGAACTTGGAGTTGAACTTTTTGCTAATGGGAAATGGGAACTGGTAATCTATGGTGTGCAATGGCATCACAATTCATTAAATTATCATCTATTCTTGCTAGGTTTGAGCGCCAGTGGGAGGCAGGCTTTTGGAGATCAATTAACTGCTGCATTTGATCATTATGGTGGTAAAGATGATTATAAGGACTGTAAGGTGAGATGGCTGCTTCTGGTTGCACTATGGTGCTTGCAGGAAGAAAATAACAAGCTCCAAGCTTTCAGCTCAAATCATCTTCAAAGCATCAGAGAGCTTCTAAGCTGCCCCAAAGTATCTCTTATTCCTTCTATTTATAAGACAGACGTGTCTAAAAAATCAGACCCAAATCAAGCATTCACAGACTCGGCAGGTCTCAAATGTGACAGTTCAGGCAGTAATTTGGAAAGGATAGGACTCAGAGACTAGTAATGGGAACATTTGAGTGGACTTGGATGAAGCTGAGAACCTTGAACACCCCAAGATCCTTGAGCTTCCCTTGATAGTGGAAGAAGTCTCACCTTTCCTATTTGATGATACTAGCCTTCCTTTGCTTGGAAACCTATAATAACCACATATGAGGCAGTTACCTTGCACAGGGATCCATATTGCTTTTAAACCCCCCGCTCCTAACTCTCATGGCCTTCAGGCTTTTATCTAGAGTCAGATCCGAGCATATTCATGGGGAGAAGGGCAGAGTCTGGCTCAGGAGGAAAAGGCTTATACTTCGAAAGAATCACAAGATTTTATTAAATTTATATTAGAAGAAATTTAGCTAATATATATGGGGATGGATTCTAAGGGTATTAGACCAAGGAGAACAGAATATAACATTGGGTTCGGGCCAAATTTATGATAGATTTTTGGACTTAATGCTATGGTAGATTGTTACAGTAATAGCCCCTAGGGAATTATGCCGCCTTGTATATCATGCCCTCATGTAATCCTCTTCCACATTGATTTTTGGCATGGCTATCTGACTTGCTTTGGCCAATGAGACATTAGCAAATATAACGCAAATGGAAACCTGAAAAGCGCTGGCACACTGGGGCTTGCCCTCTTTTTTGCTGTTTTTGGACCAGCTTCCATGTTGAAGAAGCATGGACTAACCTGGTGGAGACACATGGCCCAACCAATTGCCAGCACCAACTCCAAGACATGTGAATGAAGCCATCTAAGACCAGCATCCTCCAGCCAATCTGTTGACTGAGTGCAAATGCGTGAGTGAGCCCAGCTGACACCATGGAAAGTGGAAATGAGTTGCCCCAACTGAGCCCAGCCCCAAGTGCTAACTTACAAAATCAAGAAAACATAAATGATAAACATAAGCCACTAAGTTTTGTTATGCAGCAAAAGCTAGCTGAAACAAATATATTAACTTGAGCAGCTGGGAGTTTCTCTATTTGCTTAATTGGTTGGCTGAACCCTGTGCTCAACAGTAGGCTACATTCAGTGATGTTGAGTTGATAGAATTTCTCTGGAATAATGTACAGGAAGGATTCTAAAGGCTTAGGGAGATAGGAATAATGGAGTAATTTATCATGTGTAACCTGTGCATCTTTCCTCACCTTGAAAGGGTCCACGGAATATTCCCTTCACCAAAGGATTGAGAAATGCATTAGTGAGGGAGCCCCAGCAACCCTGACACCTCCAGTTGGCTGTTTTTTGTAGTCCAAGGTGGGAAATTCTGCCACTGAGAGGGGTTTCTTGATTTCAGTGGGGGTGATGAGATCCCAGAGTGGCAATCAGAATTTTTTACTCACAGGAATCTTTGGTGGTGGTTGCCCCTAAGAATTAAATAGATGGCCAGCCTACCAAAGCATTACTTGATCTATGTAATAGAAATCTGACTTGAGTTCTCACAACCGAGAATCACAGCTTCTTCCTCAATTCCCCACCTTACTAGTTCACAGATCTGAAGCCCCTGGTTGAAGAGAAAAATTGGACCCCTTGAGAAAGGACCCTGTAACAATGCCACAAATACTTACTGTAGATCTTCCTTCAAGCCATCCCCAAAGTGACTTGAAGTCGTTTGCTAAGGTGTCTGTGCATAGAGGAAATGGAAATACCCAGACTTTTCAGGGATTCCTAAACACTGCTCTGAAATGACACTAATCGTTAGGAATCCCAAATACCCCTATGGTCCACTAGTCAAAATAGGGGCTTATAGTGGTCAGGTGATAAAAAGAGTTTGGGCCCAATTCCATCTCATCGCGGATCTGTGACCCATGCAGCCGTTAAAAATGGTAGTTAGGAAGACTAGTCAGCAACATGGGTATAAGCTTATAATACAATGACAAATTTGAAAAAAGGATAGAAAATTACACATTACAACTATAGCTGAAATTATGTATATGTCTGGACAAATGCTAACAGCAAAAATGAAAATACTTGTGCTTGGATGATGAGATCATAGGTGATTTTTGTTTGTTTCATCTTTTTCAATTCCTCAAACTCTCCCAAATGCTATTTTTGCTCCCTGTGTAAAAGGTACTTTTTTTTTTTTAAGACGTAGAACTTATCTAGATCTTTTGTTTTAAGGATTGCCGTTATATACTTTTTAGCCAATCATATTAAGATCATAAACAGTAAGAATGTTAAGTGTAGCCATTCTCTTCAATATTATAATATATAATATTGTCTCAGAGACAATCATACATGAGGTATCTATCACATACAAGAGGCTGCAGAACTGAGAAAATCCCACTCTCTCCTTGCCCTCCACGAACTTACGGTCTAAGGGGAAGATATAACATGTGCTCAAATCCTCATGATTCAAAACTGAGAAAGATAACTGCTTCAGAGAGGGACAAAGAAAGCATTGCTCTGCCCAAAGTAAAGAGAGCTCATATTTAATCGGAGAAAATCAGAAAGTGTTCACTGGCAGAGCTGGCATCTGAAGGATGGTTAGGATTTTGCCAGAGAGAATTGAGGTCCCAGAAAGAAAGCGTTCTGGGTGGAGGGGACAGTATAAGGCATACTTGAGGACCAGTGAGCCCTTTGACTTTCCTGGAGAATGCGGCATGTACGGGAGAGCCCAGGGGACACAAAACCCGTGCTGATATACCTCGGCTGGGCATTCCTTGGAGCATAGCTCACTGCTTTCTTAGGAGTAGGATTTAGGAGAAATACCCTGTAAACAGATTATTTCGATTGTGTCTGGGCACTGCCTATATTTGTCAAGGGCTAGTGGCCGGTACATAGGGGGATTACCAATGATAGTTGGTATTTATCAGGTATTTACCACATGCTGCACATGCTAAGTGCCTGATAAAGGAAGGTACTAAATACCTTTCTTATACTATTCATTTTTTTAGATAAAGAAACTGATACTTAGAGAGATCAACTGAAATATTCAAAGTTGTGTAACTCATACATAGTCGAGCTGGGGTTGGAATCTCTGACATCAGAGCCTGCACTCCGCCCACCTTCCTATAGTGCCTCTCCAGAAAGAGCAAGAGTGAAATTAATCCTTGACCAGGAAAAGAGACCACAGGGTGTATGTAACCAGTGAAGTCTTACCTTAAAGTCCCATCCGGTAGGAAATCAGGGCACATCATGCAGCATAATCCATGGAAATTCATCACCCTAGCTCTAGCCCTTCCTAACTAAACAGGCAGCCTAAACCCAATTTCTTAACCTCTCTGTGCCTCAGTTTCCTTATCTTTAAAATGGAGACATAAAATAGTGCCATTTGTAGAGGGTTTTGAGAGAATTCATTCCAATAATATGTATAACATGCTAAACAGTATCAGGCACATAGTAAGTACTTGATATATGTTAGACGTTAGGATGGTATGCTGTAGTGTAGAACATTTCTCATATCAGGACACACTGCTTTATGGTCTTCTTCCCCGAAGAAGCCTGAATTTCAGGATACTGGGACTGGGGAGCCCTGTCCCTGTGTGGTGTTCTAGACAATAGCCCCAATCTAGGACCAAGGATGGTGATATTTTGATAGAAGCCATTATGCCACTGGGTTCCTAATAGAGTTAAACACCACCACCCAAGGATTCAGCATGCCGATCACGTATCTGGGGCCCAGGATACGTGGGCTTGCTTCCCCGGGCAGAAGGCCATGTCTGCCTGCCCTGATGTCCACAGCATTAGGAGATGCCGCTCCTCCAGCAGGGACCCAAGACCAACACATGGGACCTGGGAAACAGCCCTGGGACCCCACCCTTCTGAAGAGGGCATCCAAGTGTGCCTCAAAGGCTTTCAAACCTGTGGGAGCCAACTGGCCTGATGGAATATTAAAGTTACTGACATGGATGGGCCTTGAGGAAACCACTCAGCCAAAAGAAGAACATCTGGAACACTCTGAAGAATAAACAATTGAGTTTTATTCTTCAAAGGCATTTTTTGATTGGTATAGACAGAGAATTGAGAAACTGAGATGTTATTTCATTTGCCTGTTACTCACTTTCACACCCCTTTATTCCCATTAACCCCAAATTCTTTTTAGTTTGAGCACCAGTTAAAGAGCTTGCTTTAGGCCCACTAACCTAAGACTGTTATGCTTGGTAACGTACACATTTGGATAGTTCATGGGTCAGCTAATGCCCTGAGCTTCATGGCCCTAGCACAAAGGCCAAATTTAACATGATTAACCTGTTGTTGCTGAGTCCAGATTCCCTCCCCTTTGACACACACGTAATGGGATCCCACAGGATTTCTATAGTGTCAACCATCACAGGCCTCGACTAGAGAATATCACTGTATCACAGATGTGGAAATTGAGTCACTGAAAGGTTAAGTTTAAAGTCATATAAAGAACCAGGAAAGGAGGCCTAGTTTGGGACTTTGACCATTATGGCTACTCATCTGAAATCTTTGCAGGTACAGCATTAAGAATGCCATAATTTTTTAATGTAGATCATTGGTTTCTGAAATTTAAAAAAAACAGATTTTTTGAAGGAAAGATGTAGTTTAAAAAACACCATTCAATATGGTGCCATAATAGGTTAAAATAAATGCTTTGTGATTTAGACCTCACAAAAATACTCAAAGGTTTTTTTCCATGATTTGTAGTTGGCCCCTCTGTGTCCTTAAATGCTTTCTGTTAATTAGAACAACTCGGATGCTTTCAAGATTCCAGTAAGCCCTAAAACTTATCAATTATGGCTTGACTTTGTATGAAGCCCTGTCTGTCAGCTCATAGTCTCAATAGGTTTTTCCAGTAGCCAGAGGGAACTATGGATAAAAATAAGTCTATCGGCAATCTGTAAGTTTCTGTAACTGGAAATCTCCACTCATCTCTGCTTCTGGAAATCATTTTGGAAATGTAGGGGGAAATAATTCCCTCTGTTTTCAGTCTGGCAGCAAGAAGGAGCCTCAGGACACGCACTGGAGTCTAGGACCCAGTGTGGTCATTTTCTAAAGTGCAATAGTGCTTGCTTCGAGCCACAGGCTGTGGAGGTGAGAGCCCGGATCTGTGAAGGGGTGGGCTGCCTGACTTCCTCTGAGCACACCACGGCCAGGTGCTGCTTGGTCTTGTTGCAGTCTCCAGATTAAAGTGCTGGGTCATACAAAGGCATTTGAAAAGTATAAACAAGAAGCTCTGCAGGCCAAGGGATGCTTGTTCAGAGTCCAGAAGCTTCTTGAGGATCTCCCATCAGATCACCCCAGCTCCTGAGACCACAGCTTCAAATCTGGGAAGAAAAGTCCACAAATAGGAAAATCACTTTTCTGATTAGAAAATATATAACCTCTCAAAATCAGATTGGAGTGAGAAACTATTTTAGAAAAAAAGCTCATCTATCTGGAGGCAGCATGGTTCAAAACCTTTCTTTCCACTCCCTCTACCATTTCTCTAGCCTGTCTTCAGCCTCCCTCTCCAGACCTATCGCAGGAGCCTTCTCTTCTCCCTTGTCTGGGCTGCAGACAGCTTACTAATCCTGGAGCACAGTTCCTAGGGCTCTCCTATTCAAAACCTTTTATAGTTTCCCATTGTGGCAGATATTTCTATTTATTCCTGCAGACGCATTCTCCCCCCTAATCTGCCCTGTTCCTGACCCAGGGGAATGACATCGTGGACTGCGTCATTGGGCTTTCTTCCCTCTGGCTTCCATTCCATTCTTACCCTCTGCCTAGGGGAGAAAGGAGATTTCAGTGGGTAGGAGAGTGAGGTTGGGGTAATTACTCCTCAGCAACCTCCCAGACAGGTTGCAGGTTGACTTTATCCCTCTGTTAAAGGCCACAGCTCCTTGTGGGCTCCCTTTCCTATTGCTGTTTTCACCACCATTCTGGTAACTACTCCCTCTCCTTTCCCCTTCAGGCTGAGGCATGGTCACTGTCCCTGCACCTGCTAGTCCCAGCGTGCTCAACATCTCTTGCTGGTTTCCCCTAACCTTGCTCATGTCTTTGTAAATTGTGAAAACTTGTAAACTTGCCTCAGTAACCCCTTCTGAGCATGCCCTCTGTTTCCTGCTGGGACCTGACTGAGTCACCCATGCCTGGTGAGTAGAATCTAATCTCCTTAGCCTGGAATTCATGGCTCACATTGTGGCCCCCAACTATCTTTTCCCTTATCTCATACCTGGCTCTTTCCAAACTAGGATCACATGCCTTTTCCTACAGATGCCCCACGTCCTCCTGCCTCTCTGTCTTTCCTCCCCTGTCCTCTCTATCTAGAATAGTTTGCTATTTCTGTTTCTGTCTGGTTCAAATGTCACCTCCTCCATGAAACCTTTCCTCTTTCCTGATTATCTCCAGCGTAAAATGATATTTTTTCCCCATCTCTGAACTTTCATATTATTTGTACCTCTTGTAAGGCCATAGAGAATCACAAAAAATACACAGACTTCTCACATCATTAAAAATGCATAAGCCCAAGTGAGTGAGGCTGTTAATGACTCTTCCTGCAGCCCCCTCCGCCCTCCCTGGGACAGCTGTGCTCTGTGCAGAAAGGAAGCTTGACATAGAGTAGACATTTCTGGGGATTCTGAGGATAGGTAAATAAGGTGGGCTTTGGAATAAAGTGATAATTTAAGAGCTACATGATTTTCCAAATATGTTCCAAGAAGCACAAGGTGCCATAAAAGCCTTTGCAGGGACCTATGGTAGAGTGTTAATATCCTCTACCCCAACTCCACCACTGTTTTAATTGTTTTTTGTGAGACAATAGAAAAAAAAATATATGTATATATATATATATATTAGTCTCTGCTCCTGCTGCCTGGAGCAGAGTTCTAAAAACCTTTGTAATTTCCTAAGTGATAAGAGCACTAGGAGCATCTTTTGTTCTAATATTTGGTCTGTGACTCTGGTTCCTGACACAGAGTTCCTAAATCCCTTGGAATTTCCTGGGTAATAGCAGTATCTTTTGTTCTAATGGGGTGAATCTTGATGGGCTTCTGGATGGGGGCTGATCACCAGAAAGACCAAGCTAGATTAGAAGCTTGGAATTTTCAGCCCTACCCCCCATTCTCCAGAGAGGGGAGAGGGGCTAAAAATGGATTTAATGATTGGACGTGCCTATGTGATAAAGCATCCATAAAAATCCCCAAAGTAGGGGTTTGGAGAGCGTCCGGGTTGGTGAACACATGGAGGTGCTGGGAGAGTAGTGCATGGGGAGAGCATGGAAGCTTCGAGCCCCTTCCCACATACCCTGCCCTATTCATTTCTTCCATCTGGTTGTTCTTCTGTATCCTTTATCATATCCTTTTATAATAAACTGGTAAACAGTAAGTAAACTGTTTTCCTGAGCTCTGTGAACCGCTCCCGCTAATTAATCAAACCCCAGGAGGGGATCGTGGGAACCTCAGTTTATAGCCAATTGGTCAGAAGCACAGGTGACAACCTGGACTTGCCATTGGCTTCTGAACTGAGGGAGGGGGAGCAGTGTTGTGGGACTGAGCCCTTAACCTGTGGGATCTCATGCCATCTCCAAGTGTCAGAATTGAGTTAAATTGTAGGATACCCAGCTGATGTGCAGAGAATTACTTGGTGGGAGGGAAAGCCCCCATGCCTCTGGTGTCAGAAGTGTTATGAGTGTGGTAGTAGTGTCAGAGTAAAGGAGAGACACAGGAGGAGGACTGAAGTTTTTCCCACTCAGTATCTGTAGGTATTCTGTCTAATATTTCCTTTATAAAAGGGTTATAATGGCAAAAAAGGAGAAAAGAAAAAGATTGGAAACTACTGGGGTAGGAAAGGGGAAAGGAGACACCTCCGTGGTGGAATACTGCGGTTGTGGTCAGTCCTCGGGTGGAAGTTCTTAAGGGGAAGACAAGAGACTCATGCAAAAAAGCAAAACACAACAACAAAAAAAAACATACAGATTGGATCAATTGCTAGGAGGTATATAGAGAATTGGCCTCTTTTATTTTAATTTTAACCCAAATTATGCCAATGAGTACAGTTTTTTGAGTATCTTATCTCCAATATTTGATGTAAGAATCTTGGATGAATGATGTTGTGCTTACTTCGTCCTCAAAATTCCCACACGGCCTACGTGATGCAGAGTGTTGCAGATAGCAGACACTTAATACATGTTTGAGAGTGAATGAATGAATAGCACTATCCTGGGAATTTCAAGACCTTTTATTTTTCTGTCACTATTTCATTCAAGAGAGTCACTTAACATTGCTTAGCCCTAGTCTTACCATCTCTAAAATGAGGAAATCAGGTTACATGGTCTGTAAGCTCTCACAAACCATGGCTTGATGACTAGAATAACTGTTTTTTAAAAGGAAGCATGATATATATCCATGGTATCAGAATTCACTCCTAAAGTTATACTGGTTGACAGCTTGATTGCCTGCATAAAAGCAAGACGCCATGGGCCCAAATAGTAGCACAAGCAAGTAAGGTTAGCCGCAAGAAGAACTTCCACAAATGGAAAGGGCAATGTGCTGGACACAAGGACTCAGGCAGCCTGAACTCTAGCTCTAGTTCCACCGCCAAGTTATAAGATGACCTGTGCAAGTCACCTCATCTCTTACATCCTTGGAGTATATATTCATCCTTTCTAGGCTGGCTGGGCAGGGCATCTCTGAAAGACAACTAAGACATTGGTATATGTCCTTGAAAGAGGGTATAGCATTTCCCTCCCTAAAGTTGATGAGGGACCAATGAAGGATCCTACATAATACATTTGACTACTGGGATTTAGAGAGGTGAGTGGGGGATGTCCCAATGTATCGCTTGTAAATAACCAGGGGTGCTTGTTAGATGAAGAATGATACTTTCTGAAGCCAATGGTTGTTCAGTAGCATGTTGTTCAGTCTCCACATATTTGTGATTTTTCCAGCTTTCTTCTTCTTGTTGATTTCTAGTTTCATATCATTTTGGTCAGAAAAGATGCTTGATATAATTTCAGACTTCTTAAATTTATTGAGACTTGTTTTATTTCCCAACATATGGTCTATATTTGAGAATGTTCTGTGAGCACTTTGGAAGAATTCTACTGCTTTGGGATGGAATGTTCTCTATACATCTATTAAGTCCACCTGGTCTAGTGTTTCATTTAAGGCCAATGTTTCCTTGTTGATATTCTATCTGGATGATCTATCCATTGATGTAAGTGGGGTGTTCAAGTCTGCTACTATTATTGTGTTGCTATCAATTTCTCCCTTTAGGTCTGTTAATAGTTGCTTTATATACTTTGGTGCTCCTATGTTAGGTGCATATATATTAATAAATGTTATGTCTTCTTGGGAGAATGTCCCTTTTATAATTATATAATATCCATCTTTGTCTCTTGTTATCTTTTTTGGCTTGAAGTCTAATTTGTCTGAAATATGTATGACTACACCCACTTTCTTTTGGTTGCCATTTGCATGGAGTATCATCTTCCATTCCTTTAGTCTGAGCCTATGTTTGTCTTTAGAGCTGAGATAGGTCTCCTGGAGGCAGCATATTGTTGGGTCTTGTTTTTTAATCTATCTGTGTGTTTTGGTTGGTGAATGCAATCCATTTACATTTAGGGTGATTATTGATATGTGAGAGCTTAATACTGCCATTTTATCTTTTGTTTTCTGGTTGTTCTATATTTCCATTGTTTCATTTTTCTTGTATTTCTGTCTGCCATTTCAGTTTGGTAGTTTTCTGTGATGTGTTTCTCACTTTCCTTTTTTTTATGTTTTGTGACTGTGCTCTGATTTTTCATTTTGTGGTTACCATGAGGTTTGTATAAAAGATCTCTGATTTTTTTTGCTGATAGCATCTTACCTCCATTAACCTATGCAGGTTCTGTCCTTTTCCTCTTTCCCTCCTATGTTTTTGTTGTCACAAATTATCCCTTTTTGTATTGTGAATTTGTTACCAAACTGAAGTGGTTATAGTTATTTTTGATGCTTCTTTCCCTTTAGATTTTATGTTATGTTTAAGTGTTTAATAACCTATTCTGATATAGAGTTGTAATTTTCTGAGTTTGTCTGTTTATTTATCACCTTGCTCAAAACTTTGCCTACCTTTGCCTTTGGTTTCAAGTAGGAGGGCTCTTTTCAACATTTCTTTTAAGGCAGGTCTAGTGACAAGAAGTACAAATAACACATGAAAGTTCATAGATGGGGAAAAATATCATTTTAGGCTGGAGATAATCAGGGAAGGGGAAAGGTTTCATGGAGGAGGTGACATTTGAACCAGACAGAAACAGAAATAGCAGACTATTCTAGATAGAGAGGACATGGGAGGAAAGGCAGAGAGGCAG